GCTAATCTCCCTACTTGGTTGTAGTAGTGGTTCAACCATGAGACCGGATGGCTTTATGTTGAATGACAGTTTTACCATGCTGCATTCAACTTTGGCCAGAGACTTATTTCCTTTGGAAGTTTTAGGTTGAACAAATACTTGAAGAAACTCAGGCCCCACCCAATGCCATGAAGAGTAGGCAGGAAGACACTCAGAGACACCACCCAATACATGCCTATGTGAAGCATGGGCCACTACAAAGTACAAGTAGAGAGTAGAGAGACGGGAAAGAAATAGAAGCAGAACAGTTTGAGCTCTATGAAGAGAGGTGGATCTGGAGACATGCGGGTGGAGAGGAACAGCCTGATATGAGTAGCCTGCAAAGCCACCTAAAGCCATGGTGAAGTCCCAGATCATGTCTGTGTCAATGTCCATGGCCCATGTTACCACCAAATGCCATGTGGATGTTCCTAGCCTGAGCTGCCGCCTAGGATTGTATTGATATCCAAAGGCTGCACAGAGTTGGCCACGCCCCTCACCGACTGCATCAGTAGAGAAAACAGCACCTTGCCCATGCACCACAGCAGGCTGGCCCTGGTGGCAGGGGTACAAATGAGCTAGCCCTGAAGGTGTGAGAGCAAGAGAGCTAGTTCTGCTCCTCGTCTCTGGTTCAGGGGTGTGGATAAGGGAGAGATACACTCCCATGCTTTCACCCCTTGTCACCCATGGCAGGCAGTCAAGCTGGCAGCAGAGGGGTGAGAGCTAGAGAGCTTGTCCTGCCCCTCACCAGATTCAGCACCTGGGAGACCAGGCCCCACACCTTTGGCCCTGGTGGTGTGGATACAGGATGAGTCTACCAGAGGGCATGAAGCAGGAGAAATGGCCCTGCCCGTTGCTGCCTGCAGCATTGGGTAAGCTAGCCTAGGCAGTGCTGGAGAGATTACCCTGGTAGTGAGGAAGTAAGAGAATTGGCAAGTTGACCAACTCAGTACCGCCCAGTTCCAGTTCCACGGCTATGAGCTGGCCCACCACAACATCCACCCCATCTATGAACTGCTGGGGTAAATGAAGATGCTGGACCTGCAGATCCAAAGCTTCAGTTTCTCCGTGAGACAGGGCAACAACAGGATATAAAAGAGGGTCCCACTAAGGATCCAGAATTGATAGTACAGCAGAAGCCAGAGACCTCTATCTGGACCAATGACTCATTGAACTGAGCATTTGCAAGCAAATATTACTACATGGTGTCCTTTGTGACTCACTGTGACAACTACAATTTCATCGACAAGATTTTTGTGGTTGTCGCTGCTGTTTTGATTCACGGGTTTTGTATTTTTTAAATTGTATTTTAGTTTGCAGGGGTGTGTGAGGTTGCGAGGGTGGAGGACACATCAAAGGGACAAGGAGATGAGTACAATTGGGGTGCATGATGCGAAATCCACAAAGAAGCAATAAAAAAATGTAAAAAAGAAAAAGAATCAACTTAACTAAAACTTGAAGCACGAAACTAAAGTGAGAGTTTGCAAGAGAAGAAATACAAATAGCTTTAAAGTAGTTTTTTTTAAGTACTCAAAATCCCTAGCCTTCAGGGAAAATGTAAATTAAAACTAAGTAGAGATTTCATCATTTACAAGTTAGAATAGCTAAGATATAAAAACAAAAACTACAACATAAGTGCTAACAAATGTTGCCATGAGTGTGCTGAAAGGAGAAAACTTATCCATTGTTGGTGGACATATATTCTAGTATAGCCATGTGTAAATCAGTGTGAGCATTCCTCAAAAATCTAAATATATATCTACCACAGGATTCATCTGAAGCACTCCAAGGTTTATTGCAAAGGACTCTATTTATTTCTGCTGAGATTCTGACTCATCCTTGTTGCATATGCTTAGTTCACAATGCCAGGAAATGGAAACAGCCTCGATGTCTGAATAGACTGTGAAATTTCACATATATACAATGAAATGCTACTCAACTCCAAAGAAAAATTAGATTATGCAATTCAAAGATAGATAGAGCTGGAAATGATTATGCTGAATTAAGAAACTCAGACCAGAAAGACAAGCCTCATGTGTTCTGTCTTATATGTGGATGGTAGCTATGAATCTTTAGATATATGTATTGAAACTGGAGTAATTTTAGAAGGAGGAAACTATTAAGTGTCACCAGCACTAGAGACGGATGATAGACTCGGGTAGAATGAAGAGGGTAAGGGGAATAACGGACCTGGAAGGGCTAAATGAGGAGAGTGACTGGGCAGAGAGCCTAGAGGAAAAGGTAGAGAGAGGAGCAACTAACGCTAATGTCCCTTGAAAATGCCACGTGGAAACCTACTACAGAAGCTTCTTAAGATATATAATATGCATACACATACACATAAAAAAATTAAATGGGGTTATCCTATTAGAGGCTGACACTGCCTCCCCAGACATCAGAGGATAACAAATAAAAAGCCCATTGCCAGGTATATGTTACCTCTTTTCCAGATGTTAAGAACTGGGTTTCTATCGACAACCATTCGTGTACACATTACAGGCTCTTTCCCCTGCTGTTAGTTACTCTCCAGAACTTGCTGCGACACCACATATTTGAAACACAGTACATGAAGAAGCCAAGTTGGTACCAACCCAGAAGCACCATCCCTGATGGTTAGCTTTGCTTTCATAGTGCTAGAAGATGCTGTGCATGCAACTGGCAGAGAAAAGTAATCAACAGTGTTACCCAGCTATGAATCCTGCAAGCAACAATCACCCAGTGAGATATGTTCACTGGGGGCAATAATGACATGTAAGTTATGGTAGTAACTAACTGATTTCTGATTGAACTTAATTCATTCTCACAAGATGAAACTCATGCCTGGTACCACTAACTGGGTGAACAAAGCCATAACTGCCTAGGTCAAAAGTCCTACAAGGAAACGATGCTATCATTGTGCTCCATGGACATAACAATAAACTGCACTCAAAGTTTTTATCATTCTATCCATAAAGTAGTACAGTGATCAAACCTCATCAAAGGAGTTTCTTTCTGCAGGAGATGGACATTAATACAGAGACTCACAGCTGGTTAGTTTTTGAAGAACAATAAACAGTGATGTATTCAATTCTAAATGGTATATCTATATGATACCCTCTTCTCCCAAGACTCAGGAACCATAAAGGAAGAGAGGATAAAGCAATTGTGAAAGCCAGTATAAGTGAGCATTTACAAGGGAATTTTCCAGGCATGACAGAACCATTGCACGCATGAATTCATAGAAGCTGTGATAATATGAACAAGACCTATTTGGATCAAACTGACCAAAATCCCAGCATGGGTGGGGAGTGGGCTTATGGAGTCCCATCCTTAGCTAGTTAGTAGTTGATAGAAGATGATAAAGGATCAGTTCTTTCAGGGAAGAAGACTCTGAGAGGCTGGCAACATTTGTGGTCCTCTACCCATGAACATACAGGCTGTGTATCTACTATTGATAGGAGTCTTAGCTGGGGTTATCCTTACAGATTTCTAGGAGATTCTCTTATGTCAGGTTTTTATCTGACCCCCAAAAGCCCTCCCCTTTCCAGTAGTCTCTTTCAGTACTGTCTCTCTCCACTTCCCCAAGCTGATCAATCATGTTCCTATCCTTTCCCAACCTTTTTCTGCTCATGAAACCTCTTCTATTTTCCCTTCCCAAGGAAATCTGGGCATCTCATCCATGAACTTTCCTTGTTACTTAGTCTCTCTGGGTCTGTGAATTGTTGCATAGTTATCCATTATTTTACAGCTAGAATCCACTTATAAGTGAGAAATACTATGGTTGTCTTTCTGGGTCGGGGTTACCTCACGCAGGATGATTTTATTCTAGTTCCATCCATTTTCCTTTAAATTTCTTGGTGTCTTTGTTTTTCGCAGCTAAGTAATGCCCCGTTGCATACGTGTATACCTCATTTTCTTTATCCATTTCTTAGTTAAGGGACATATTATGCTGTTTCCAGGTTCTGGCTACTACAAATAAGGCTGTTGTGAACATAGATGAGCAAGTGTCCTTAAGGAATGATTGAGCATCCTTTGGGCATATGCCCAAGAGTGATATACCTGGGTCTTGTGGTAGATTGATTCTCAGTTCACTCAGAAATCACTACACTGACTTCCAAAATGGTTGTAAAAGTTTACATTATCACCAGCATGCAAAAGTGCTCCCCTTGTTCCACATCCTCTCCAGCATGAGCTGATACTTATTTTTGATCTTATTCTGACAAGTGTAAGATAGAATCTCAGAGTTGTTTTGATTTTCATTTCACAATCACTAAGGATATTGTGCATACCCTTAAGTGTTTCTTAGCCATTTTGAGATTTTCTGTTGAGAATTCTCTGTTGTGACGTGCATCCCATTTTTTAATTGGACTATTTGGTTTATTGATACCTAGAGTTTTGAGTTCTGTATATATTTTGGAAATCAGCCCGAGAATGGTAGTCAACATATATAAAATTCCTTTAACAACCATACCTTCCATTCCTGTAAGATGACTATACCCACACAAATAGTTTTTTTCCTAATCAAATGATGGGTATTAAGTGAATAAAATGCATTTCTTGTTATTTTTGGTGTTTCAAGATAGGGTTTCTCAGTGTAGCCTTAGCTATCCTGGAACTCTTTCTGTAGACCAGGCTGGTCTTGAACTCACAGAGAACCACCTGCCTCTGCCTCCTGAGTGCTGGGATTAAAGGCAAGTGCCACCGTCGCCTGGTATAAAATACATTTCTGGCCCCTTAAAAGAAAACAAAAAAAAAGAAAAGAAAAGAAAAGAAAGAAAGAAAATTCTTACATTGCTCTTTGAATTACACATATTTGTAAAATATACAAAATATTGCTTTGAGATAAAAGTTACAAAGTTTCCATGATTAAAATTTGTTCTGCATTTTCTCTACATGTTTATTTCTTTCAGTTCATTGTTCATAAAGCTCTTCAGTAGCAAATGAAAATGAGTGATCATTGAGAACTCTATTTTATTCATTCAGAACAATTGATTACAGTTCATCAAGGGAAAGAATTGTTTTATGGCTAAAAATTCATAGTCTTAGATAATGGAAAGTAAAACTGAAAATGTTCTAACCAAACATATAATTATAGCAAGGACAATAAGCAACAAATCAGGATCAGACAGTTATTAATAGCCCGAAATAAGTTATTTTCTAACAGCACCATAAACAATGATAGTGCTTTAAACATAGAAAATAAAAACTATGCAAACCGATCTCTAACTATAATGTGGACTTTCCTAATTTATAAAATTATCGTAATAAGGATATTATTTTTATTTAATATAATTCTGTAAGCAAACTAAAAAAACTTGCATGTTTAAAATAAAAACCAAACCTCCTAGCTTTTTGCTTTATCTTTCAAAGTTGATATTTAATGTATAATATCTTAACAATAAGTTTTAATACTTAAACTTTAATTTATATTCTGGAGTTATAGGTCAGTGATAGAGCACTTGTCTGACATTTAAAAACCCCAAGTTCAATCCTCAGTAATAGAAAAATGGGAAAGAATAAAAGAGAAAAGAGATTTATAATATATTTTCTCAACATTAACATGAAGGCATTTAAATAAAGTTCAACATCAGTCTAATACAACACATTGAATACATATTTATTGTAAGTGCCTAAGGAAGTGTTCTATCCCTAATCAAAATTAAGTTCATTTCACTGTTTACTTTAATGTAGAGATTAGAATAACAGCATTTAATATAAACACACATATTTCACTTAATGTTGCATTATATACTGGTATACATTATATACATAAAACAACTCCAGAAAGCATCTGACTCCAAAGCAGCACCAAATAAAAAAAGATAAACAAAAGCAAAATTGTATTTCATCAGTGACCTTTATCTTTTTTTTTCTTGACTCAGTTTTGACCACCCTTCTACCAGTCAGAACAATATGCACAAAAAGTTTTGGAGGGCTCACATTCTAGAAATCTGGTGAATTGTGTAGGATACAAAGATTACAGTTAAAGTGCTCTCTTGGGTAAAGAGAGACAATGAGCATCATTTCGTCAACATAACAGAGCTATGGGGAGTTTGGAGGTTGTAGGAAGTATTCCTGATAAATACTAAAATATGCTGTGGGATCATGCTCTTACACACTGTAAAGATTTGTCACTCCTACTGGTTTATTAAAACGCTGGTTGGCCAGTAGCCAGGCAGGAAGTATAGGTGGGGCAACCAGACTAGGAGAATTCTGGGACAAGAAAAGAGAGACACAGTTGCCACCCAGATGCAGAAGAAGCAAGATGAGAATGCCTCACTGAGAAAAGGTACCAAGCCACGTAGCTAAACATAGACAAAAATTATGGGTTAGCTAGGCAGTGGTGGCACATACCTTTAATCCCAGTACTCGGGAGGCAGAGGCAGGTGGTTCTCTGTGAATTTGAGACCAGCCTGGTCTACAAGAGCTAGTTCCAGGACAGGCTCCAATACTGCAGAGAAATACTGTCTCAAAAAATAAAAAGGGGTTAATTTAAGTTGTAAGGGCTAATTAATAAAAGCATGAGATAATAGGCCAAACAGTTTATAATTAATATAAGCCTCTGTGTGTTTCTTTGGGACTGAAAAGTTGTGGGATTGGACAGGACAGAAACTTCCATTTACAAAATTCCGCAAGGTAACTACATATAGAAAGGAAAGGTGGGCATATTAAATATATTTTGAGGGAGTATTTTTTTTTTCAGAGAAGCATGTGAATTCCCACAACAACAGAGAAAATGCCCAATATTCTTGGGGCTCTCTTGCTACTTAAGTGACCCTTCATACAAATCACTAACCACTATGTGTCTATTTATATCTCCTTATAGTGCAATTATAAAAGCATTGCCTCTCCCTTACTTAGACATTGCAAACTTGAGCACCCAAATAATCTAGAAAGCAGTATTTTGATTGTATTTAACAATTACAGAAAATAACTATTTATTTTATGAACAGTACTAAGTTGTTTCACCATCAATCTAATCTGTACAGCCATATAATCTCTGGTGGTTTCAAATGTTGATTGTTTTCTGTTAATTGTCTTCCAACTTTGGCACACCGACATATGGAAACTGTACACAAAAGGCGACATGATAATCTTCAAATGAACAGTTAGAATCTGAGCTAACCATTCTTGAGTAAATACATAGGCACAAATAAGAAATGGTCATTTTCTTTTATTTCCCTCTGAATTTCTGTAGTTTGAAAATAATTGGGCTATTAATCATGTATGGTATTTAAGGACAAAAATATGAAATATCCACTAATTAGCTTTAAACTATGAATTACAGTTTAGAGCCACTGCAACAGCATTAGCATTTAGATTTGTTTCACTTAAATTTGTAAAAAAATATACAAACCAGAAACTTAAAGGAAGCTTTCTGCAATGAAGATTTAAAGATTATGATCCTTTAAATTTCTTTAGAGATAAGAAATGGGTCTTTTAAATACTAAACACCATTTTATTTGATAATGACCACCATGGTTTGGAGATAACTATAGTTGTATTTAGCTTCATAAATAAGTAACAGAACCAGGTGCATTCTCTCAAAGACAGCAATGTTGGTAGGGGTGAGCTAGTTCAAACTCTGAAGCACAAGTTTTCTTTCACATATTACTATTCTGTGACACCTTTTCCTCTTCCCTCACATTCTCCAAATTCACTGGTCTTGAGTTCCTACATTTCTGAATTCTACTGCTTACAGTCACCAATTTTTTTTATGTGTTCATTTTTTACAAGTTTTTTAATTCAGATATTTACATATTATAATAATTATCAAAAGTAGAAAACCATTATCAAAAGCATTATTTCTTATTAGAGCATCCCATTTTATAGAAGACTAGCCCTGGCGGAGGGCAAGAATTCTCTATAGAATTTGAGATAAATTTATTTGAAACTAGAAAGGGAAGAGACATATTTCACACCCATTTCATTCCTGACCATCTTTACGTGTACTCCTTTGAGTGATGCTGATGTTGCAGCCTACTTACCTGTCAGCTGGTTAACGAGTAACGTCTGTGTAGTCAGTATTTGTTAGAAATGACTTCTAGGTCCGTTTCTTCCTTCTTTTTACAATACTTGGAATTTCCCAGTAAGGCTTTAGCACTGCCTTTGTTTTATAAGAGAACCCATAACTGAGATCACTTTCTTCTTACTAATAAGTGAATAATCAACTTTGTTTCTTATATTTGACCTGAAAAACTCCTGTCAAGTGTCACTGACAACCATCATGGGAGCATCCGAGGGAAGCAGCGTGAGAACTGGATCAGTAGTACGTAAATGAAACTAACACTGTAGGAAGGATTCGGAGAGAAGCTTATGCCCACCGTTAATTTCAAACACAACAAGAACACCTTGTAGCATGGGACAAGTTTTCTTGTACATATAAGCTAATTAGATCTGGATTTTCTAAAGCATCTCTATCAAAAATATTCATAGGTGCTAAAGTTTCTTTATAGTAAATGACATAGATTCAATCAATTGTTATCAAAGTAGATATTGGTGTTGAAAAAAAAAGACTAAAAACCTATGCCATAAAAGTCATCATTAATGTGTTCAGGCCAGAAGAACAGTTTAGAATCTTGGTTTTGGTCTTCGAGAGAAGGTTGGATAGTTAACATAAATGTCCTCTTTCTCGTCATCTATAGAGTGGATGGGAGACGTGGGACTTCTGCAGTTGGTAGCTACCTACAAAATAAATAGCAAAACATTGAGTGGCTCACTGAATTTCAGCATCCAATAAAAGCAATCTTTAAAACCCTGATAGCAGATGAACTAAGACAAGACATCTTAGTTTTGAACTTGATTCCAAGAAGTAAATCATGAGTCAATCGGGGGAAAAAATTCCAAAGACCAATACTTCATAAAAGAGGAAAGTTAAGTTGATAGATTATTAAGAAGTCTGCAGCACACATATCAGATTGCAAGAGGCTTTTTAGAGCTTATCCTTTTAGCCATGTAGAACTTGACTGCAAATAATTAAAGGGAAGAAAAATTGATGTCATTTTGGATAGCACTTGGGAAAATGTCTTAGTTCAGGCAGTTATAACAAAATAGCATAGACTAAGTGGCTTAATTAAACAGCAAACATTTACTTCTCACAATTTTAAAGTATATAAAATCCGATGTCAAATATCAACTGAGGGTTTGATTCTTGAGTTGCAGATCATCTTCCTTCTTCCTGTGCAAAATTTTTCTTGGATAAAAACAAGCAAACAAAGATATCTGGCTTTCTAAACTCTTTCCATTTCTTCTTATAGAAACACTAATGCCATTAATGAAGGTTTCACACTTATAACCCAATCACCTCTGCAAGGCCCCACCTGCAAATACTATCACATTGGAGGGTTGATGATTTCAATATGTGAATTTAGGGGGTCATATGAGCATTCAATTTCCAGCAATGTTTTATAGTTAAACTTAAAAATATAATAGTTTACTACTAAAAGAGAGATATTTGAATTAAAATTAAAGACAATGAGCATAAAAAAGCCCCCCTTTTATCTGCAAACACTTAAGGAAGTTTCCATCCTTTCAATTAAACAGTAGGGGGCAGAAGCATAAAGAGTAAGACAGAAAAAATTATAATTTGTCACAATCCTGCAACACACTTGACAATTTAGTAATTTTATAACCTATTTGAGCACTTATAATTAAAAATTAATTCAAAGATAATACTATCAATGAAAGTCATTCATTATACCTTTCTTTGTGTGTGCTATGCTTCAGAGTCTTTTATGTAGTTTAATTTAATTTAACCCTCATAATAACCTTATGACGTAAAATGTTATGTTCTGTGTTGAGTTGACTAGATGCCTCTTTCAAAATGTCTCTACAAGAGATAGCCCCTGTTCCCACTGTTAGGAGTCCCACAAGAGGACTACCTACACAAACACAACTGTAACATATATGCAGAACACCTTGGTCAGTCTCACACAGACTCCCTGGTTGTTAATTCAGTCTCCATGAGCTTCTATGAGCCCAGGTTAGTTGATTCTATACTGGATCATCTTACCCAGCCTTAATAGATGGGAGGTGTTTAATCTTTATGTAACTTGATACACCATATTTTGTTGATATTCATGGAAGACCTGCCATTCACTAAACTGAAATGGAGGAGAAGTGGATTGAGTATTGGGAACAGAGGGAGGAGTGGGGGGGGGACATGACTGGGAAGAGAAGAAGAAGGGGAAACTAACTGCAGTTGTGATGTAAATTAAATAAGTTTATTTTCTAAAATGTCATTTTAGAAGCTTCATTATTTAACATGTTTTAAAAGATCTTTGCAGATAAGTTAACACTAAGAAGGTGGGTGAATGGCTTAGAAGCTAACTACTTAGTGGGAGAACATTAGCATATGAATTCAGATTCCCAGCACCTGATCCCTGTAACCCAAGTACTAGGAGTTTAAAACAAATCTCAGTCAATGGCCAGCCAATCTAGCAAAAGTAGCAGGCCCTCAGTCAATGAGACTTTGTCTCAAAAAATAATATGGGGATATATAAAGGAAAATAGAAGACATCATAAACCACCCCCCCACACACACATATTGGCAAAAAAGCTTGCCTTCATATGCACATGCACACACTCAAAATTTATGCAGATAAAGTTAATGTGTTAAACTGAAGTAAGGAACATGAAGTCAGCCTTTGGTCCAATATGACCAGAACCTTTATTAGAGCCAAGAACATCCAGACAAACACAAAAAAGGCATTATGTGAGCACAAGGAGAGATTTAAGGGTGTATCTGCAAGTCAATGGCTGTGGAGAACTGCAGGAAGCTACCAGAAGCTGATAGAAAAGACCAATTTTACCTCAGAAATAGCCATCCTTCTGGTGCTTTTTTTTTTTTAGCTTCAAAATCATGAAAGAATAGATGTCTGTTGTTTTAAACTACCAATTTTATTCAATGTGTAATGGAAAGCAGATTTTGGTAATGTGTAGTGGTCACTAATTATTTCAGTATAATTTCTATTATTTTCCTCACAATCCTCCTGCCTCAGCTTTCCATGAGCTAGAACTATGGGCGTGTAGTATTTTTAACACTAAAATTTCTAAAATCCTGGCTTCAGAGTTGTTAACAATAAGAGAATAACTATTTCCTCAGCTAGTTGATACTTGAATTGCAAGCAATGTCATTTCAAGATCATGAAAAGGGAAATAAGCAATAAGATTGACAAGTGAAAATAAAAAAAGAAAGCTCTTACGGGAGACTTTTCAACAAGTAGGAGCATTGACAATCAACTTACCTTACTCTGTTTATCGCTGGGCTCTTTAAGCGGTGTTCTCACCTGTCTCCTTCTCCTTCTAGAACACAAATTCAGCAAAGAATATTAAGACACTGTACTCAAGCCCTAGTTATCCCTTCTGCTCAATTCCTTGCTGTGTCCCCAGCCACTGTGTTCCTGTGAAAACACAGTTGTGGCTATAAACAGTTGCTCTATATCTATGCTCTCTACTCTGATGGTTCGAGTGTCAGCTTGGCTGGATTAAAAATCATCACGAAAATATATTTTTGGTGTGATTTTTAGAAATTTTATCTGAAGAATGAAAACTCATGCTGTATCACCATCCTTTGGTGGCCCCAAAGCCTCCATAACAAGAAGAAAATACACCGAGAATCACTTCCCTCTGCTTCCTGACTGGATACAACATGACTGGATGACTCAAAAACCCTTCCATGATTTTGAAACTGTGAGTCAAAATAAATTTATTCTTCCTTAGGGCTGCTTTTCCAGACGTTTGTCACAGCAATAAAAAGAATAACATACTTACCTTTTCCAATGTGCTTATAGATGGAAAGGACAATAACTAATCAATGGTTTTACAAAATACTATATAGTGGATTAGTATTCAAACGGTACAGCTTTTGGACTTAAAGGTTTTCTATAATTAAATCTTCTTTAAAATGTCAACACTGTCATTAATTGGATGACAATAATTATTGACTTAAGTTTCTTAAAATCTCATAGGTCTTATAAATTACCCAGTGCATTATTTTATTTAGAGTTTATCAAAGCTCTAAGAGAATAGGAAAGTGCTTGGAGGGGAAATAGCATCTAGCCTATCTTCTCATGGTTGGTTAGTAGTGGTGCTGAAGTTAAAGCCACAGTCCTCCACCTGACTCTAAGGCTCCCCCACGCTGAGTCACCTGGACGAACAGACCATCCAGAGACACCGTGTGCAACACACTCACCTAGGAAAGCCAAAGTTCTCTGCAAAATTTCAAAAGAATAAATATAAGAGAAACAAAAAAAAAAGATATACCAAATGAATGTGTAGAAATAACCACAGCCAAGACTATTGAAAGATCTGTGATGGGGTATCATGGCTCCCTCCTTGTCATCTCTCTCCAGATAAGATTCTAACTGAACTAAAGCAAAAACAGATTCAACGCAAGAAGTGAAAAAAAATGCTTTTTCTTTTTTTTTTTTTGTTTAAAAATACAATTTCAACTCCTCTGTAGAAAATTTGAAAGCAAGATATTCCTTCTAAAAGCTGCTCAGTAATAGCTATTGCCTACAGTGGATACTTGGAATTCCTTGGAAGTAGCCCTATGATCTCAGTACAATCTTACTTCTTTATGTGCGTTTATTTGGCTTTTATTATTTAAGGAATTATACCTCAATTTATTTACTCCTTCTATGTGTAAATTATGAAGTATAATTAACATTCTCCTAAGCTTATGTAAGTAAATTTATATATATTTATATTTTAAGAAAATACGTGCTATGATTGTTATTGGATGGTTCTATGCCTCTGGCCAGTTAAATTGTCATTCATAAGAATGATGGTGTGTATGTAGGTGTGTGACTGAGTGTCTCCGTGTGTGTGTGTGTGTATGCACATGTGTGTCTCTGAGTGCATATGTCTGTCTGTGGGTATGTTTACCAATATTTAAATAAGACAAGAACATGTGGTGAATAAAAAAGAATTTGGCTTAGATATCAAAGCTTTCTTTATGTAACTTGTGTTGTGCTATTTGCTACACAAAAGATCAATATCTCTATAATCAGTCCTCCTACCTTTATAATATAGTTAGTACATATACCAAAGACTGTTTTGTGTTGAAGAGTTGCCCTGGTTTGTCTAATTGTAAGGTACTTCCCAGTATGTGACTTTTTTTCAATGCTGAAAAAAAATGAGTTTCCAGTATATCAACACATTACATAATCTGCACATTTTTATCAAATGTACAAATAAGCAACTCATTTTCACTAAATGTTATATATCATCTTACAAAGAAAGATGTCCATCTCAAGTATAAACTTTGGCTCCTTTCATTCTGACACTCTGTATTTCCCCTGGTCATGTTCATTCACTATTGTTATCGTGAAGCAGAAGACTTGCTTCCAAAGACATCAGAATCACAGATGACTAGGTGTCAAGAGTAAAGTGAGGATTTGCTTTGGCTCCTGTCCAACTCAGCACATCTGAAGCTGCGGAATTATTCTAAACAGCAAGACGTGGGACTCTGGGTCATTGCTATAACCCTTGGGTCAGCTTTCAAAGCATTTTCATTTGAAGTAACAACCAAGACAGACGTGTGACAAGGTAGGACGAACAGCGCCCTTTCTTTTGTGTTTTTCACCTACTATTATTCAGTCAAGCCTACTAATCTTTTTATAACATTTAACCAGGGAAGGTTATATACTCTTTGGTTCAATTTAGTTGTTCAGGTAAACGTAATGCATTTTCAGGAAGCAAAACCTATCATGTCCAACACCTGCGACCCTCCAGAGGCCCCCGCTGCCACTCATTGCTTCAGCTGTGCTGCTTGTCCCTACTTGCTCCTCCTGTGGTCTCTGCCCTTTGCAAGTTTTTATAAACTAAAGTGGAGCAGTATGCTTGGGGGGGGGGTCTTTACTTCAACTTGGTCATAAAAAAACTTAAGTTCACCCATGGTGGGGGTAAAGAAAAACTTCCCTGTGTCTCAAAGTACTTGTACAAACACCTATTGAATATGCACTGTTTAGACATATTAGTGCTAAATACATTTGAAAGCTAGAAATGAAAACTCACAAAATTCCCAAATTATGATTATCATACATAGATGTGGAGGATAAAAATGGAAATCACACGAAGAATTAAAACACAAAGTAAGATTCAAGGAACAGCAGATTAGGAGGACAAAAAGATTCCAGATCGTGACATCATATCTATTTGAAGGAACATCAAAAGAGGACAGATCTCTAGCATGGGGAAAGAGGACAAGTGTCTTGCATGTTGAATGAAGCACAAGATTGAGACCAAATGAGAGAAATTATATTTTTGTAGCAAAATTCTTCTCCTCTGAACAATGAGTTGGACATGTTAAAAGTATTTTACAATTGTTCCAACTTTAACAAAATTAATCAGCACACTGGGGGAGTAGTAATGTGGAAAATATAAATAAAGATGCTGATGTCAAGAAGCAAGGCAACTTCAATGACTTGGTTAATGAGTTCTAAGATTATTCTGGTGTCTAGGAGAAGATAATACAAGCGTCCATCAATTAGGAATGACATCACCAATCCTATTTTCCAAAGGAGTAGGCAAAATCAATAGCTTAGAAGGAGAAAGTTTGTCAGAGAGCAAAGTGGGAGGGTGAAAGAGTTATTAAAATCAGGTGAATGTAAAAGAGGTAGAGGTCAGAGATCATATTTGGAGACGGGACATATAAACCTACTGGAGAACCAAATTAATGGGTGTATGTGCGCGCGCATGCGTGCTTTATCAGCAAGAAAAGAATGAAATTTTGTGTATTCATTTATCAAAACAACCATGTTAAGTGGTTGTGCCTTTCCACACATGCAAAATATCCATGTTCAGATAGGGGCCCTTCCTCCCTTAGGCAGAGAACACTCCAGCTGGAACATGGTGTGGGTTATTCAAGATAGTTAAAGTTAAGTATGAGGCAAATCAGTAGTGCTCATGGGAGAGCTAGGAGGGAAAGGAAGGGCCTTGTTTAAGAACAGAAATTTATACACACACAGACACACACACACACACACATATCCTGAATCAGCTTGATAAGTTGTTGAATCATTCATAGAGAACCATAAATATCAGAATTATCCTAGGCAAATAGGACTCAGGCTAATGTGTTTTACTCACCTGCTATAAAAAATAATTGTGATTATAATTAGGATAACCAGCAACAGTGAAACTGATCCTCCAGCAATGGGAAGTATAAAATGTTTATTGGATCCACCTAGAAAAAAATAAGGCATGAATTAGTAATTTAATTAAGGCCACCAAAAAAGGAGGGAAAATGAAGAAAGGATCCAATAATCATGACAGGATAAAATCAAACTCAAAGAATTTAATAACAATAGGACAGGGTAAGGGGAGAAAGGCATTTTTCCTTAAGATCCTCCTTAATTCTTATGACTATCACAGGTTTTTATTACTTCCTTTACTAAACTGGGTTCAACAACAAGAATATGGAGCTGAAAAGATGGTTCACTGGTTACTTCTCTTTCAGGGGACCTGTGCTAGGATACACACATCTACACAGTGGCTCACAATTGCCTGTAATTGCGCATCTGAGAATCTGACACTTTTGGCTTCCAAAAGCACTTATGCTCACATTGACATACATTACACAGATATGCATATATACGTAAAGTAACAAAAATAGGTCTTAAGAAAGAACAATAGTGGTAATGGCACCCATTGAACACATAAGCTCTTTCATTATAATATACAAAAAAAACCCTTGCAGAGAAAAAAAATGCAATGCTGGAGTAATATATTAATAGAACTGCATTTTATGTTGACATATACTCTAGGTAGATGTATAATGATGAAGGAGTTAATTTCAGGCCTGCCCGCTGTTCTGAAATGTTTACCAGAATTTTTTAAAATATACTTTATACTACATTTGAATACATTTTAAAAGTGATATTGAAGTTAAACATGTTACTCTGACTTGGTGTTGTCTGGAACCCTAAACTGTTCCCTTGACTGATCACTGTTATAGCTGACTGGCCGCTAGCATCATCTTTCTGTGCTCAGAATTCTTGCATCTCTCAAACAAGGTGATAAATCAATATTTGAAAGAATGATGAGTTACTGCTTGAGAAATCCCACCTCTAAGGTACTAGATTGAGGTGAGACACTACTCCATGTTTCTCTGTGACCTCCTGCCCACTGCCACCCTCATCCATTTTCACTCTCAGGGCATCTTGTGAGATGAGCCCCATCACTATTAGTTGTTGGCAAGGGTGAACCTGAAATGAGGTTTACCTATTGTCTTTATTGCTGTCTACTAGACAGCTCATTTGCCACTGCAGTCTGGAAATCAATGACAACGTAAGAAGAATATCTCTTCAACTCATTCTACCTCATATTTCTTCAGAACATCCCATACTTCCTAAGTCACAGTTTCACTGAATCCTTTTCTTATGATAAAAACCTTGAGTCTAGACCAAGTTTATTCAAAAGAAACTAAGACAAATGATAGATGTTTTTTAAGTTTTAAACGTGTTTAATCCGTGTTATAAGACTAAGTGAGAGCAACTATACAGTGGTTCTCCTTCTGAATCTGGCTTATGTCATTTAACAGAATAGCACAAGGTTCTTCTCAGTGTCACAGATGACATCATCTTTATACTGCTGAAAGCTACATCGCTCTGCCCATATATACCATGTTCTTTATCTATTCCACCAGTGATAGACATGTTGGTTGTTCTATATGTTGAGTCCTGTGAATAAGGCAAACACATAGAGGCAAATACTAAGAGTCCAAGTGTATATGAAATATAAAAATGCTGAAATCTTTGATTTCTGGCACAGAGCAGGAAGTATTGAAAATGGGATCATGTTCAAGAGTACAACCTTTTGTTATATGAAGAAAAAGTTCAAGGGCTATAGATTATAATACAGGTAAGTTAGGGGTGTGCTAATTAATTTGGTGATGGTAATCCAGGCTGTATATTTACATATACAAAATCTTTATATTGCACACCTTGGAAATATTTAAGCTTTGAGAATATATATATATTTAAATTTTTAATAACTAGAAGATGGCTCAGTTTGCAAAGCATTTGCCTTAATATCACAAAGACCTTACTTCTGACCCCATATAAAGTCTGTGGTGGTGTCACACTCTATATCCAGTAGAGAAGTAAACAGATCCTGGGACTGAGTGGGCAGGTCAGTGTGAGGCCCAGTTACCAAAAGTAAGATGAAGAATTCCCGAGGGACAGCACTTAATGCTGCGCTCTGGTCTTCACATACCCATGTACACAGACAGGTACACTTGAACAGACATAGACATGCATGCACACATGAGTATACACACGTACAGGTTTAAAGTATATTTTTCTTCTTTTTTTGTTGTTTTTTCCAAATTTTCTAAATGATATGTTGATTTTGAATCAGAAGATCTATAAACGTATATGTAAGTCTACATTCTTAAAACAGAATGATTGTTAGATTTTAGTCATGACATTTAAAAGACAAAATTTGGGGAACTCCTTTTTAAAGGAGATTCAGAATCATTAAGAGTTAAGATCATGTTTTTGCTGTGTTCAATTATATGATTTTAGACTATTTTCATCAGAGTTCTCAGCCATAAATCCTAGTTTCAAATGCTTCAGCTTGAAGCATGTTTCCCATGACCAGCCTTTTCCAGTAAATCTGACCATTAGTGTCAGGTCCTTTTGTTCAGTGTCTAAATGCTTACAGTCTCTCAATGTGCTGGGTAATGGGACCACAGAGGGTGACAGATAAACACTTACTTTATATTTCACTAGTTGAACCTTTATTGCTTTGAAATCCCCCCCCCCCGCCATGTTCTAAATCAGGCACCAAACAAGCATTTCCCCTCCAGAAATGCATGTATAGAGAAGCACAGCTTCAGCCCCACTTGGCCCAGCACAGCCTGAAGCCATCGCTGTCCTGCCTCCCTTCCCTGCCTTCGTTATGTACCTGCTATGGGATTGGCCAGAGTAGAGCAGGGATGGACCTCCATAAGACCTGTGTGGATTGAAAAACAGAAAGCATTCAGGATGCTTTGGGGAGTTAATCAATACTTCATAACACTCACTTTTCCCCTTAAGTTCTGCTAATAGATCTGTAGTTGAATAATGTCAGCCCTCAAGTCCTTCTCCTAAAGAAAGAATTATTATCTGTTTCCAGTGGTCCCTTCCTAATAGCTTTTTTCATGTATTCCAATGCTGTATTGATTCATAGGAGGACAAAACTCTCTTGAACTACAAAGCCATTATTTTTCCTCCTTTCACAAAGGATAAATACAGTTAAAACAATTTCAAGCAAGTCAGTAAAATTTATAAATGAATAACTTTCTCTAGGCCTGTGGCCCTCCAGGGTAAGTTTCTGCCAGACCAAGTATTTATGACTGAGTTATAAACCTTTAGAGAAGACTCATGATAGAAATACCACTTGTTCTGTCCATCAGGGCTAGACGAGCAGAGCCCACTGTTTGTCTTCGTTAGAGATTCAAGTAGGTTGGTAGTGAAGGCACCAAATAATGTAGAACCTAAATAATAAGCTAAGTGCATTGGGCCAATACTTTGATCCTAGTACTTTGGAGTTGGAAGCAGGATTATCAAAAGTTCAATGCAGCCTGGGATACATAGCAAGCTTAAGGCCGGCCTGAGCTGCTTGAGACCAATGTGGGCTTTTTGTTTGGTTGTGTTGGTTTTGGTTTTTCTTCTAAATTTTATCTTGTGGGACAGCTTGCAAGGGCAGAGGGCAGAAAGAGAAGGACAGGAAGATGAATGGGATTGGGATGCATGATATGAAATCCACAAAGAATCAATAAAACATTAAAAAAAAAAGAAACCAACAACCAAAGAATCTAACTGGACCAGAGAAGGTGAGGAAGGACACACATCCAGTATCAGGTATTCTTTTCTTGGTCATTAAAAGAAGAAACACAAATGTTAGACCTTAATCTTAGGGCACAAGAAATATGCATGCAGCAAGTTTACGTGAAGCAGATATGTATGAGCTCACAGATCCTGAAATATCAAGTCATTCTACATTTCAACTCAGCATTAGACAGAAAAATATCTCTAATATGAAATTAATTAGCATCAAACTAAAAGCACAGTCATTGAAGAGAGATGTGGAGCTTAGACCTGTCTTCTGCTTTGTTTCACTTGAAGAGTTCATATAGGATATTTAATCTCTTTTGTTAAGTGATGAAATGATTAAAGAATCAATGCCAAGCATGCCTTTGATATTTAAATAAAACATATAGTGGAATTTTAAGTATTTTCAACACTATACAATGTTAATAGCACAAATTATACACTCATAGTTAGATTTTATACACACAATGCAAATTAAGATTAACTAAATAAGCCATTTTTAGTCATGTTGAAATGTCACATTGAAGTACTTCTGTATCATAGATGCTACTTGCTCCTATAACTAGTCACCCTTCTAGGGAAGGTTAAAAGTAATTTGTATGTGTAAGAATATTCTAGACCACTACGACATCGTAAACCAAAATTGGTAAATGAAATATACATCAAGTAGATACTGTTATTCTAACATCACTCCAGGTTTCCAGAGACCACCTGTCAGCATAAATTAGTTTTATAATCCTTATTTCATAAATGTTTTCCTGTTTCACATGAAGGAAATTCCAGGGAATAAGTGGCTTTCTGAGAATTAAGGAACCATGACATCATCCTTTAATCTACAGTGACTGAAATGTGGCAACGGTATTTAAATCAGTACCATTTGTGGTTTAAATGAGAATAGCCTATATAGGATCATATGTTTGAATACTTGGTACCCGGTTGGTGGGACAGTTTGAGAAGGATTAAAAGGTGGGACTTGTTGGAGAAGGTATGTCACTAAGAGTAGACTTTGAGGTTTCAAAAGCCCATACCATTAACAGTTAGCTGTTGGAGGGTGAGAGCTGTTCGTTGGTCCCAGCCACCCAGCCACGAAATAATCACACAGAAGTTGTATTAAATAAATCACTGTTTGGCCCATTAGATCTAGCTTCTTATTGGCTAACTCTCACATATGAATTTAACCCATTTCTAGTAATCTGTATATCGCCACTTGGCTGTGGCTTACCACCTAAAGTTCTGGTGTCTGTCTCCAGAGGGGCTCCATGGTGCCTCTCTGACTCCACCTTCCTTCTCCCAGCATTCCATTCAGTTTTCCCTGCCTACCTAAGTTCTGCCCTATCAACAGGTCAAGGCAGTTTCTTTATTCACCAAT